AAGTTTATATCAAAGGTAAAAACCATTTAAAAATGAAATTCTGAAAAAAAAAAAAAAAGTCAGAATTGAAACAAACAAAGTTGTAATTGTGAGATAAAAAGTCTCAGTTAACTTTTTGTAAGTAATTATTTTGTTGTTATTTGTGTTTGTCTGTTATTTATTTATTTAATTATATTTTTTTCTTTCAGTGTATGCTGCTTTAATTTATTGGAGGTGTGTTTAACAATGATAATACCTGTTTCTTACTTGAAGAGGTTTAATAAAGGTTAAAATAATTCGAACACATTGCATTGTGGGATATAGTATTCGACAACAGCAAGCACTGTTGCACATTTTAATTTGTGCATACAGAAAATTAGCATACTGCCCACAGTATACATACTATATACTTCAGCAATACTAAGAGTAGTACGGTAGTATGGTATATCTCCATTCCGAACACAGCTTTAGGGTAAACGTATATGTCGATGTGATGTACCTGTGATGGTAGGCTGAAGTTATTGGCTGGGCTGCGCTTCTTGCTGTTTCCTGTGCTGTTATTGGACGCGCTACCAGCTGAGTTCCTCCTCCTCCGTCTCTTTGTTGCTGGTTTGGCTGGCTCTGCTGTCAATCAAAACATAAAAGTAGCATAATGCAAACTGAATCAGCATTGCATTCCATGAATTGCATTCCATGTTGAAAACCAGTGAAACAGAGTGAACATGTTAAAAAATGGGTGGATAGATGGATTAATAAATGGGTGCAAACACACAGCATACTGTATCTTTTAAAACACTAATCAATACTGCAAATGAAACCAACAAAAGAGTGGTAGAGGTCTAAATAACGGTATTCTGATGATATTTTTAGCATGTATATAGAAGAACAGAACCAATTTGATTTGCATTTCCTGAGGGAAATGCCACTGCTTGCACAGCAACAAAAGAATAGTGTTCGTTTTATATATAAGGCTTCAGTTTTGAATAAATGAAATGGCTTTGCCGTTGTCATGACACTGAGTATGTGTCTCGTTTTTTTAGCCAGCTGCACACAGGAAGTTTCACATAGGATGAATTAGGAATAGCACACTAGGCTAGCATAGTACTCAGTATGCTATTTTGAATTCAGCCATAGTGCAGTGTTTTGCACATAGCTTTACGGTTAAATATATGCAGGAACTGCAAGATCAGTCACAATTCAGTATGCAAAGAAGACAAATCACAATGCAGCATGCAAATACTACATCATTGCAGTTGGGTAAATCTTGAATGCAGAACATTCTAGAAGCATCAATATGACGTTTTTATTCGATTGATCCTGTTTAGGTTGAAGTAAATGTTTTATTATTATTATTATTATTAAATATTTAGCGTTATGAGTGTAGAAGAAACCCTAACTAGAATGTTTGAGGAATTGTAAAAAAAATGAAAGTGCATAGAAGAGCATACATACATTTTTTGGAATTAGAGGGAAATATTTCTGTCTTGAAGCTGGGCGAGGGTCCAACTGAAATGAAAGGAATTAATAACAGTCAAAAGACACCACTGTACCGTCTTTCAGAAACAACATTAAGAACATTTCAGTAAATAATAATGAGGATGCAAAACAGTAAAGCGGATGAGAAAAAGAGAGGAACAATGAAAGAGAGTTGCCTGAGAAGAATAATAAGATTATTGTTCAGTCAAAACAAAGGAATTATTGTCACAGAACAGCAGGAGGTAGTTATTTTTTAAAAAAGAGCAGTAAAATAGCACATAAATAACAACACAAGGTCAAAGCCTCCATTAATTACTGCAGATCACAAAACCCTTAACAGCCTGTGCTCAGTACTTTGAAATGTTAATAAGGAATATGAAATATGTTTACAATGTACAAACTACTGTAAATTTAATGACATTGTATAGCTCTTAAGAGGAGAACAACAGAAAGAAATTAAACGCTGGGGGGAAAGAGTAGCTAAACAATGCTGGTATTTCAATATTAATCTTTCACAACAGACTGTATTTAAGAGAGAAAGAAAGCTAAGAGGAGACATGAAACGAGATCTAATGAAGAACGTAGAAGCTAGAGTTATAATTAACTAAAACTAAAACCATAAACAACTGTTTAGGGTTTTTTTTGGTACATAATAATGATAAAAAAATAATTAAAATGACAAAAACACTCAACAAAATTACTAAAACTTGAGCTAAAATTACAATGAAAATGGGAAATATGAAAAATATAATAGTGTCTCTGCGATACTAAAATAACTTGCGTGAGGCTTGTGTGTGTGTTGACCAGGTATTTCCTACATTATGGGGACCAAATGTCCTCACAAGGATAGTAATACAGTCATTTTTTGATCATGCGGGGACATTTTTGGTCCCCATAAGGAAAACAGCTTATAAATTATACAAAATGAAGATTTCTAGGAATGCAGAAAGATTTCTGTGAGAGGTAGATTTACAGTAAGGGGATAGGGTATACAGTTTGTACATGTTATGAGCAATGCCTATGGGAAGTCCCCATAAAACATGGAAACCCAACGAGTGTGTGTGTGTGTGTGTGTGTGTGTGTGAGAGAGAGAGAGAGAGAGAGAGAGACCTGGTGGTGTTGTCATCCTCTGCCACTGGTGAAAGAGGCAGGTCTTCAGGCAGTCTCTGGGACTCAGTCCATATGTCTTATGCCTAGACATGAGCTCCTGCATCGGCTCTAGAATCACACACAACTGCACACAAACAAAATAATCTTTTCACTCAGTTGTTTAACACATTAAAAATCCATACCATCCGTATGAGAGTTGATGTGTTTGTATGTGTGTATACATGATTGTAACATACTCTGAGGTAGTTCAGCGTGAGGTTGGTAAGTCCCACTCGACTGATGTTTTTGGACAGTTGTTCCAGGGCTCCAGGGTCTTGTGCCTGACAAAGACACACACACACACACACACATGGACACACAAGTCCATTTATTCTCTCTCTTATTTTGTGCTCCATCCAGATAGAGCTCTAATTCATTACAGGATATGTTTCCATAGCAACATCCTGACAGCTTAGCTAAAAGGTTTGGATGCTTTCACCTTGATTGATAAAAAAGGGCTGAAATGCATTTTGTTGTACCATAACCAACTACCTGTGAATGCATCTGAAAATACCTGAGTTTGCCAATATGCCAAACAAATCCATGGTAGACATAACCCACATAACTGGGGAAATCGTATTATTTAGAAAACAGCAAATTAGTTTTTGATTATTTTTGAATTAAAATCATGTAAAGCTTAAAATAGTATTGTAAATGTTACATATGTAAAATGTTAATCCACAGTGTAGGCTAAAAAAGCTAAAAAACTTCACTCCGACGCAGCATGCTGCACTCATACAAGCAGTACATGGCTCATGTGAAGAGAAACTGACTTGTGAGAATAATATTACACACACACAGTGTCAGAAAAAGTAAGGACAGTGTTTTACTAATGTTAACAATTACTGAGAGTATGAGTCACATGAAAATTTACTAACGCTAAGGGAAGGGAACCTAATTTACACACAAAGTATTTGACATTTTTAGCAAAGAATTTGACAGACACTTTTAACCAATGCAACTTACATTGCACTCAAGACACAAACTTTATCATTAACATACACCCTGGCAATCAATTCCATGTCCTTGGTATTGCTAGCAAATAATGTATTTTTTTATCCAATTTAGAGTAAAACTACTATTAACTACGACTTTTGCCTCAATAAACTCCTAATGTGCTGCTTATTAACAGTTAGTAAGGTAGCTGTTAAGTTTAGGTATTGTGTAGGATAATTAGGGTTGTAGAATATGGTCATGCAGAATATGATAATATATTATCATATATTATAATATACAATGAAAACTGCCCACATTTTTTAAAAGTAGTGCCCTACCAAAAGTTTGGGGTCAGGGAGATTGTCTTTCTTTTTTTTTCTTTTTTTTTTTAAAGAAATTAATATTTTTATTTAAGCAAGGAAACATTCAATTGTCCAAAAGTAACAGTAAAAACCTTTATATTGTTTGTAAAAAAAAAAAAAAAAATGTCAAAGAAATGCTGTTCTTGAGATTTCTATTATCAGAAGTTCATACAAAAATCCAAAATTGTTGGGAGTTTCCACAAAAATGTTAATAAGCACAACTGTTTTCAACATTGATGATAATGTTTGAGCACCAAATCCGCATATTAGAATGATTTCTGAAGAATCGTGTGACACTAAACTAGTAGTGACTGCTGAAAATGTAGTTTTGCTATCATAAGAATAAATTACATTTAAAATATATTAAAATAGAAAAAAAATATTATTTTAAATTGTAATAATATTTCAGAATATAACTGTGTTTTTGATCAAATAAATATAGCCTTGGAGAGCATAAGATACTTCTTTTAAAAAATATTAAAAATTTTAATAATCAAGATAGAGCTTTTAAAACTGTTGCTGATATTACTTCTGCTTTATTTGCTGCAATGGAAATCAATGGTCAAATCTAGCACATTGCATTATGGGATACAGTATTCAAAACAGTGTGTTCTGTGTATGCTGCAAAGTCTGGTCAATGTAGAAGGTCATCCAGGATGCATATCATTTTGTGTGAGAAATATTAAGGAGGTTTTTTTTATTCACATGAAAAGTAACTCACATTTACAGCCAAGACACTGCGAGGAATGAGTTCACTGTAGTGTGTGATAGTGAAGTGCCATGTTTTGATTCTCATGAGGTCATCAAAGGTGAACACAAGAATAAGATGACCTTCTGTACACACCTGTGAAAAAAAGGAAGAGAGTTTGTCATTCAGTTTTTTTCAAACTTTCAGAATAAAATAAGACAGACATCACACAAAGACAATTAATTATCTTGTATCTTCTGAAATCATAACTTGACTTGACTTGACCAGTGCACAACTTGTGAGAGAATTACATCTAACTAATTTTTGTTTTTCATTCAAAACAAATCAAATTATACGGTTCTCTCATTAAAGCAGTATTTTCAGCACAAGCAGGATTCTGTGTGGAACTCTGAACCCCAACATTCTGTTGCCGGGGGAACAGAGGGTAGCTGCAAGGTTGGCATAGCAACGGGAGGGATGTAATCCCAGCAGACACGCTCTGATCAATGCCTCCAGTACACACACACACACACACACACTTGGGAACTGTGTCTGTATAACTTAGTTACAACATACAGTCTTCCGAATCAATATTTAATTCACAAATGTTCATTTACTAAAAAGCAAAGTTGGACAAAACTCTCTCTCTCTAATTGACAATTGAACGATTCTGCATCGTAATGGCGTACCATATGAATATTGCATAGGACATTCAGAAAATCACACGTTATGTTGGTTTTGGGAACCAAGTATTCTTGTCATATGATATAAATGAAATAAGCAAAAGCATTCTCTGAACAGTATTGTAATATACTTGCTCCAAGACAGTATTAGCAGACTTTTCATCAAGATCATCCTACAGTTTTAGCGCATAAAGCTATAGGATAGAAAAAAGAGAAGCGGTTTTTGTGGATGAGCGAGGGAGAGAGGGAGTGAGGAAGAAGCCGAGAAAGAGCAGGAGGGAGAGGGAGAGAGTGGGGGTTATATTTTCCTTTTTTGTTTTGTGCAGTTCCAGCCCAGAATTCACAATGAGGAATACATTAGTGCTCAAAATGAGGAAGCAAAGACTCACTGAGCCAGATTCGTGCGTGTGTGTGCAGTACCTTAGTGAACGTAGGTTTGCCGTGTTGTGTTGTCATAGTACAGTGATGAGAGTCGACAGTAATAGCTGAGTTGTTGAACGACTCCTTTGTTTGTTTCAGCTCAAAAAACAACTCATAGACTCCTCCTTCGAACAGAGAACTGAAGTAACGAGGGATCAGGGTGCGCCCGATGGCTGGGGAAGAAGGAAGGAGAGTGAGAGAAACATACGTGGAGAGGGAAATTTCATTTTGAGGACATCAGTTGCGGTCGCGGATTAACAAACAGAAGGAAAAGAATGGTATAGACTCCATGCAGAGGTGTTTATTTATTAATGGCCATATGATGAAAGAGTCTCAAAGTTGGGCGACACACTGGCCGAACACCTTAACTGGCAACCGTAAATGTGTGTGTTTGTGTGTGTGTCTCTGTGTGTGGTCCCCTAAGAGTTGGAAACAAACAGGCTACTGAATGCCACAGGCATTAAGTCCAGCAGGCTGTGCATGCGCACAGAACTGTTAGTGCTCTGGAGCTGTCAATCACTGCAGTAGAGGTGTGTGAAGTCTGCAGGCCCATATTTATTTGAACACCCCAGACCTGTCAATCAAATCTCACCACATACACAGTGAATAAGGAATGAATGAGAATGAGTGAAATCCAGCACAACTGTGTCCCTGTCTAACTCTAAACAGACTGAAATGAATCTAAATTCAAACTCTACCTTAGAAAGAGAAAAGGAGACAAAGTGTGCAAATTCTATTATGATTTTATTTGTGATTTTAAAAATATTTTACACATTTTTAGGGTAAAACAATGTTTTTACACATCTTAAAGTACATATATGCTCACAAATCTTATTCTCATTTAATTTGTTGTTAATAAGTAATCATTAGTGTACACCGTGATTTTATCATATTTTGATGTTTACAAAGTCCACCAAAAAACAACATTCAAGGATGTAAGTGGTCAAATGTCCTTACAAATCTAGTTTAAAACATATGTGCCAAGTTCTCATTCACTGTATTTCCGGTGGTTTTATATTTTGAAAAAAAAAATGTAATGAATTAAAAAATGTAAAGTAAAAATATTTTCTTTACACACTGAATGTGAATTTATCTGAATCATTATTTTCAAAATAGCTTAAAGGTAAAAAGCATTTTTATGAAGATATGAATTGAGAATTGTATGGCATTTTATAGCCTGAACTAACCTTGCATGTCATAAAAAACATTAAAATTGTTCATATTTAAAACGACTTACAGACCCTAACACACAGTCCTGAGAATCAGTAGAGTGCCTCAATGATATAATTTTCTGTTTTCAGGTTGTTGTTTTTTTTTTTGCAATATTATTTTAAATATTAATAAGCAGGACAGCAGTTTTGTTCAAATATTTCCCCCAAAAAAATAACATGAAAAGATTACGCTAAAGAATAGAATCCTTTTTTTTTCTTAATCATGATGTGTGGACAGTTGAAACCATTTAAGTCAGAAACTGTATTGTCATTGTATGTATGAATTGGATTTTTAATGCATTTAATTTACTTTTTAATGAAATAAAATTAAAAAAGTGTGACACATCATAGACCCAACCAAATGTTAAATATACTGTATAGGGGGGCCAACAGAAAAAGTTGAAGAATCTAAACCATTACACCACACCTTTCGAACATCAATGAATACATGGTGGCTATGGCTCTGCACACACTTACTGTACGTCTTTGGTCCCTCCTCCAGGCAGAATGAGAGAGTCAGTGTGGCATCTTCTTCAAAGAACTCAGTGCAGAATGCATCCCACCACAGAATATCACAGTCCTGTGGGATCACACATTAACACACATTTAACACTGAGTGAGACAGAGGAGAGGCACAGAAGTACTTGACCTCTGAATGACCCAAAATGACCATAATTAGGCCTGGCACAGTGATTATCATTTCAAAGCTTTCTGTTTATTATAAACACACACCCATCGTGACTCGCCCCATTAAGGGCAGCAATTTACACCACAAATCCAGCCAACTACCGCTGGCCTGCTATTGAGATTCACTTTTGTATTGGACATTATTATACCAGTTCATACTCCACAATACACTGTATTTTCACAGCTCTTGCACTCCAGTCTTTGTGCGTTATAAACGTGTAAGACAGTTATTAGATTGTGAGAAAGGGGTGTTTCTATAGAGGTCATCATTCCAATAGTTTAGTCTCTCTTAACGGTATCTGTCAAATTATCATGACTCCAGGTGTGCTGAACATACCTCTGCTGATACATTTTATTTTCCTCCATTTATTCACATTGCTTTTTCTGAGTGTAGGCAATATTTTAAAGTACTATTTATTGTGGATTATTTTTGCACACACACTGACGGCATCAGGAAAAGCAAATATTAACACAGCTTGCGCTGTAGTTTAAATCGGGACCTATTGAGGGAGAAGGAATATATATATATATATATATATATATATATATGGAGAGTACTACAATAATTCATGCTACCAAATAAACATTATGGAACATCACCTTGCTGTTTGTGTTTCTGAAAACCACCACATAATCAATAGTGTATTTGGTATTGTACCAAACCAAGGACTAATGTGTTGTGTGCTCAGTCAAATCCTATTTAGTGAAAGTCCTTGAATAAGTTCAGTTTGTAAGTGAACATTGGGGTCACACTGTGGTGATGCGAGAGGAATAAATGAATATGTTAAAGTGATTTGACCATGGGGACTTTACTTAAAAAAAAAATCAGACTTATTCAAATTATGTTTCATCTATGTTTAAACGTGTGTAAAATGTCTGGTAATAAAGATCTTATCATGGCTTTGGCAACCTTCAAGTGCGCTTATGTGATGATTTGGATTTTCATTTTGTGTGCAACAAAAATGATGTTTGATAGGTGTAATAATAATGCCATGTAAGCAGTCAACTTTTAATGTATAAAAAATGCATTAACAGATAGCCCATAACTTAAAAAATATTAAAACTGATTAAAATTCTGATCTTCAAACTGCTATTATGCTATTCTGGCATAGATGTGCATTGCTGTTCACTTCTTATTTCCATCATAACCAACAATGTATATTTTGTATATGAAGTATATTTTGAAAAGGCTCAATTCTTCTCTAAAACGGAATACGGAAATGTCAGCACTATTTGTAACAGAATGTTGAGATATTATACACATAAATACGTGGGCTAAAATAAATTCAAAATACGATGTCAAGTCAAACAATTTTTTATCATAAAATAGGCTAATTATTGAAAGATCTTTTTTCTTTAAAATCAGCTTAATTGACAGAAAAGTTCTCCTTATAGATTACATGATGACTCTATTGATCTCATCTAAAATTAATGTTTGCTTTATATATTTAAGAACGTACATAAAATATGAATTGCAAAGTCCTGATTTTTGGTAATCACTCACCTCAGGCCGGGACTGGAGCCGTTTGTTGAGCTCGTGCATCCGGTACTCCGGCTGCACCGGGTAGGGCGCGTGTCTCCGGTAAAACGGACGGACAGGAGATGAGTAGAAGGGGTCGCGTGGCGCGCCAGTCATGGTTTCTGTTACCGACAGCGCGCGAGGAGCGCATCCACACGCAGCACGTGGAGCACGACGATCGTAAACATAGACACACACACACAC